AGTTAGATTCAGAATTTCAGCTCAGATCTGCAAAGAGTGGTTATTCAATACCATTTTCTGTTCTATTTAACAAATACTCATATAGAGTATTTTTTAAGTAACCAAGTAGACAGATGAAAGATTCTTCTGTTGCCCCAGTTATGGGCAGCTCTCCCTGTCATTCCCCACTGAAAGAAAATACTCCTGTATTAAAAAATAACCAGGGGTTTCTTAGTGTCAGATTTGCCCAAATAATTTTAACCCCATAGCATTAATTTGAGAGTGCCTAAAAAGAAAAGGAAGGCTAAAAAAATAGCTCCAGTGCTAAACACCACCCATAACTGTCTCTAAAATCACCTATGGTTTGCAGCTCCCAGCCCACACAGTTAACATACTGACCTTGCTGAAATCTCCCTGGGTAAGCAAGATAACTCTAAAAAAAGAACATCAGGCCCTCACGATTAATTGCTAACTATTAATAAATTAGCATATTTTTCCCGCTTCTCTCAGGCATACCTATAAATGTAGTTGTCCAACAGCTTTACCAGGAATGGAAATCGGAGTATTTCATGACATAATAGATGCAGGAATAAGTAATGTTCCTGAACTACTAAGAAAGGGAATAACTGAGCCTGGAGTGCAACAAGGAGGCCAAAGCAGACGCGTGATCCCCAGCCAGCTGAGTCTACAGCTACAGCGACAAAGGCCAGACTGTAATGGAGCCTCACAACAACAGAGGCTTCTAACCACAAGCGCGTCAAACTGTTCTTACCGTGTAAAATTTGGCTTGAAGTTACAACTCACATAAGTATGTGAGGCCTGGGGGTAGGGGGAATAGACAGATCAGGCTACAGCAAACAAAGAGGAGGCACAGTGATGTTCTCTAATACGACAGTGACATTTCTCACACAGGAGGATCTATGCCAAATGCAGCTTTCATCTTCTTCACATCTTTTGAGGAATGACCCTAGAAGAGGGGTTTTCAGCAGTCAGGAGACTCTGAGACCTGAAAAAATTTCTCCATATTATCAGATCCCTCTGTCTCCTTCAAACTGTTGCTGCACCAGTAAACTTAAGTCACTTTTGCACAGTGTACTACAGATGTGCTACAACTTCCATGGCCACTCACCTGCTTCACAACCACCTGAGTAACTCCAGGAACACCTCTAGAGGAGCTCTGGAGGAATTCAGGCTTGTGGGCACTGTGAGATACAGTGAGAGCTTTGAGCCCCCAGACATCTTAGACTGCACAGAAGCAAGACCACAGGTCAACTGCAACACCATCCAGATGTTAGCTTATACCTCAACAAGGTAAGCAAGGTATAAGCTCAACAAGGACCAACTCTAAATAACTAAATAACTAACTAACTATCTATATAACTAAATAAATAAATACATAAATAAAATATCAAAACCCAAAGACATCTTCTCAGTATAGTCAGGAAAACAGTGCAGACAATATTGTTTAAAGAGCATAAACTCAGCCAGAAGTCAATCAACACAACATCCTAGCCAAATATTTACCTTTTCAAGGCTAAATATAACCCCTAAATACTATCTGAATTCATTGTGCTGTAAGAGAAACCTAAAACTACACCATCACTTCTTCGAGACAGAAATCAAGGCGGTGCTTATTAAAAAAAAAAAATCAGGTACAGTTTTCAAACACTGATGCTGCAGCTAAAAAGTTATCAAATCCTTGGTCAAAGCTTGATAAAAGCTTCATGTACATAGAAAATTGCCAGCAATAAAAGCACAGCTCTTCCTCTGCAGCTTCAATTTAACTAGACCAACTGTACAGCCCACTAGTGTCAGTACAGTGTACTGTGCCAGAAAAAACACCCTTGTTCACAAAAAATAGCAGCATTCTAGTCTGAGTTAGCAAGAGAAGACAAGCAACTGTGTTTTGTATCAGTTCTTGTTGGTAACAATGAACACAGCACTTTTTATTTACAACTTGAATATAAATATATATTTATGTTTGGCTTACTAACTCTTGATAGGTTCTATTTTAAATTCCAGATAAATGCTATTTACAGTATTTACTGAGGAGTGAACAGCTCAAAATCAGAGAACAAAACTCATCAGAACAAGAATTACCTTGTTAAAAACACATTAGTTCCAAATAACTAAATAAAAAAAAAAAAAAAAAAGTAAGTTGACCAAAAGCAAATAAGCTGTCCAGAAGTGGTCATACAGCCTACTTTAGGATTTTACTTTTAGGGGTTTGTTTCACAAACAGGGGGAAGTTTCCATACTTTTTCTGGTCTGAAAAAGTTACTAAAAATAACTTATCAAAGTTTGATTGTAAAAAGATTTGGAAGGGAGGGAAAAAACCAGATCCTGGACAAATATTCTCTGTTTCACAATTAATATTAAAATGGATTGAGACCACTAATTTTCACCACTCTCTATATTTCTCCAAGATACTTTTTATCATCGTATGATAAGCAAGAATAGTTATCTGCAAAACCAATCTCCCCACTGAGAGCTGGCATCTCCCACCAAATATTTACGTCATGCTCTTAGAATACTTCTCCATGGCACCATAGCACTAACTACTGGTAGTGTGTATCACCAGCCAAATACTTTAACCTAGAGTTTGACCAGTTCAGTGAAGATCACTCTTCAGAAATGGCATGTGCAAGAACGCAAATGGCATAAGCTCCCCTCTAACCACTTGTTTTATAAAACTAACCTTGAGAATTAAATGTAATACCTATAAGGTAAAAATACAGAATACTGGTGTTGGTCAAACATGGAATCCATTGTTTGTAAACTTGTGTAAAGAGTTATTTCAGATTAAAAATAAAGTATGAAACATTGTGCTAATAAAGCTGTTAGCTAGCTATTAAAGTGTCTATTTTAATGCGCAGAGATGAAAGCAGAACCATAAAGAAAAACTTTCCACATCTCCTTTATTTCAGTCTTGCCATGCAGGGAGTGACATAAAATGACTCTGTGTTACAAAGAGGTCGAAAGCTTACCTAGAAACTGAAAAACAACAACACAAACAAAAGTCACCGGCAGTCTTCAATTTATTCCTTTACATTTCAAAGGACACGTGTTTCCATTAGTCAGAAGACCCACCTCTCAACTACAGCCAGTCCTCAAATCATTCTCCATAACACTAATTGAGAGTCCAGCTAAAGAGTTACCTGTTCAAGGAACCTGCAAGTAAAATAAATTATGCAAGAAAGGAAGGCAAGCATGCTTAAATGTAATAAAGGCTTTTAAAATGATTAGCAGGTTTACTCTTTAATCTGGCAAGCTAACCAACTTTCAGCACCCAAGAGAAAAAAATACAATGAGGGAAAAGCTTTATATAAATATTGCACATACCAAAGCAAAAGGCTTATTACATTGGAACAATGCACTCCTGTTTAAACCAATACCAAGCCTAAAAAAAAAAAAAAAAAAAAAAAAAAAAAAAAAAAAGGAAAGACAGGTCTTTCTTTGGAAGTTATTTATATGTTAACGCATAACTACACAGCACGTTTGTGTGGAATTCTCTCCTCACAAAGGCTACTTGGAAGGTCCCTCACTGGCACCGGCTCCTTCACGCACATGTTCACGCTCTCAGGAGGGCTGGGAGTATCCATCTCTCGCTGTCTGAAGACACGAGTCTGCTTTCCAAATTTGCCTCAGTTTTGAGTCGCACTCCTGCCAAGTGCTGACCACAGGCACGCACTCCAATCAGCATTATGGTCCTGAGACAGAGCAGTAATGGCTGCTGTAAGTAAATGCCGCTTCTAATAGGGGGAAACTTTCACCTCTGGAAACATTCCTAACTTCTCATCAACTTCAATTCCAGCAACGCCTGTGAAAATACTTTGTGTAACATAAGAGGATCACGCTAAACCTAGTCCTACAAGAAAAGGAGACGTACACTTCAGAAGTCATAAGTCCCTCACCTAATTCATAGCTTTATTTCCCTTTTGGTTGATTCCCAATAGAGCGGGAACTGCGACAGCAAGACCCCAATCGGCATTCGGAAAGCACTGGCAGGGTCCAACCAGAACAGACAGCAGGAAGTTTAACCCGCCTTCAAAGAGAAACCCGACAACACCCAACGCTGCCGAAATCCCCACGGCAGGAGCGAGGACCCGTGGCCCCGCTGCCTCCGTCCCACCAGAGACCCCGGGGCCAGGGCGCAGGGACGGGCAGGCTCCACACATCGGTCCCGCCGAGGCTTTCGCAGCTATGTCAACACTGTGAACGAACCTCGAAGCAGAGGAGGAAGTTTTAGTAGGCGGGGGAGGGAGAGAAACAAGCATACACGCGAAAGATGAGGGGTGGGAGGGATGGACGGACGGACAGACGGACGAAGGGGCCGCTATTTAACTCTCCGAGCGGTAGCCCAGCGTTTCAATCCCATCACCGTCAAACAATACTAAGAGTTCTTGTTTGCTTTAGCTAGTTTATAAACTTTTAGCCTAACTTACAAACCTGAAGTTTTTTCGAACCGTGAGTAGGTTTTGCTTGAGAAGCTGAAAGCTGACTCACGTGGAGCTCTTCAGACCTAAACGCCTCTATGATTCCACGATTCTACCTGCCTGAAGGAGCACAGTTATCCCCTCTGTATGTAAGCAGGCTGGCCAGCACGACCACAGAAGGGGACCGAGCCATGGCTTAGGACCCCAGTGGTTACACGCGTATCCCGAGTCAGCCATCGTCCCTGCAAAACTCGCTTCAAAACCTTCCCCTTTCCCCACGTCAAAAACAAAAACAAAACAACAACAAAACCACAAGGCGAAGCGGGCACAAGCGCACGAACAGGTAGGGAGCGCCAGCAGGAGGGCGCGGAAAGCCGCCGACTCCCAAGCGCCACGCCGGGCAGTCCCGGGGCTCAGCCGGGGGAGCGGCCGCGCAGCCGGGGCCGGGGCTGGCGCTGGGGCTGGGGCTGGCACTGACCAAGGCCCCGCTGGCCCCGCCAGGCAGAGCAGCCGCGGCGGCACCGAGACACCCCCGAGCCCTCCGCCGGAAAGTTCCCCCGGCGCCCAGGGCCGGCGCCCTCTTACCCTTAGTCCAGTCCACCACTTGCTTCGGGCTCCACCTGGTCACCGGCTCCATGGCGGGCTCAGTCCCTCCAGCAGCAGCTAACCCCACAACCGACCCGCAGCCGGGCTTCTCCGGCCGCGAACTCACCGCCTCCCACTCTCCCATCCCGGTGGCGCCGCTCCGGGCCGCCCCCTCCCCGGCCCGGCTCCTCCCGCCGGCCACGGCCGGGCCCGCCCCGCTGCCGCTCCGCCCCCAGGTGCTGTGTCCCGCCCGCCCCGGACCGGCCCTACGCTTGGGAAAGTGCGGAGGAGAAACTTCCTGGGATTCCCACTGCAACAGGTCCAGAGGGGCGGCGGTTCGGGAGTCACCCGGCATCCTGCCCCGGGAACGGCGGCCGGCCCGTGTGATGGAGCGGCGGCCGGGCGCTTCACCCCGCCTTGGCGGTGACTCTAAGTCACAGCCTTGTGGCAATTTTAGCAGCAACTGAAAACTGCCTTCAACCACGCTTGTCCCAGTATTGGCATTTTAGGGTTTTATTTCTGAATCCCCCTCTTAAGTGTCCTTGGGTGTGGAGGCCGTTTCACCGTACGAGATTACTTGTGTCATTCTGCTCTTGGCTGGGAGCTGCATTAAGCCATCAGCTGTTTTTCAGGCTCCCTTTCCTCAAGGGAAATGTGTCACTGTGTCCTGGCCGCTTCCTGAAGCCCATGTAAACCTCCACTGAGTGCCAGCCCCTGCTCCAGAGGTTAAAGGGCTAACTTCCAAACTGTGTGCCCAGCACACGGACCTCCACCATTCTGTACCACTGAGCATGTAACTCTGCCTACAACCGCTTTTCCACTAACAAAACAGCGAGGAGACGTGGAGAAACCAGTTTCTATTGTGTCTATCACAATCCTATCTGGTTCAGCAGCAAATTCCAGCCTGAAGCCCTTTTGTAACATGCACGAAGGTCTCACTGCTCCTCTTCCTCGGTGGGAAAATGCAGACTAAACTCTGCTCTGACAGTAAGAGTGTGAAATTTTAACTTGGCAATTTCAGAGACCAAGGAAGCAGCTGGGATTTCAGCCCGTCCAGCATCCCATTGTTTTCATCATCTCCCATCTTTATCCATCTCTTATCCCTAGCCATGTACTTGAAATGTAAGCTCTTTGGGACAGGAGCTGTCAGTTTTGTCTGTGGCTGTGTGGCGCCCAAAGGTGCAGTGCCTGGCTTTCCCACCATGGCACAAACAGCTGTCTTCTGACACACACTGCTGCAGACTCCTGCATGGAGTCAGGAAGAGTTTTAATTCTAGTTCTAGTTTTGGTAATCAGTAGTTTAAAAAAAAATAGTCTCTTTGCATGTATACCTAAAAAATAATAGTTTGTTCATTCTTTTTGTTACATGGTGGTTGAAAGTGTATTTTTAGTTCTTTATTAGGAGGTCAACTCATTCAAGCTGATTTATTTATTTACCTTTTAGCTTGTGAAATATAAAGCCTGTCAGTTAACCTCTCTGCCTATTTGAAAGATTAAGATGCAGTTCCTCACAGCTTTAATATTGGTGCAACAACCAAAAGTTTCCTAATTCCTCATTGAATCATGTGCCACTTATGCTTAAAGAACAATCAAACAGCAACTCTCCCACCTCTTAGAGGCCTGAGTAAACAGATGGACCTTCCTATGTGCCCTGCTAATGGTTTCACAAGGGTTAATGTAACAACGCTTCAGTGTTAACTACACAGATGCTTCCCGACGTTGCAGGCTGGAAAGCAAATGTCTCTCGCCGTTGGTGTTTGCAGCAGTCATCTGCTGTCATCCTTCTCTGTCACACAATTTGAGCCAGTCCCTCTGCTTGATTTGGATCAGATAAGTACAATATTTAGTGAGTAAGGCATGCCGAGATGGTCACTTGTTAGCAAATTGCCAATCTAACAATTCCGTTATTTCTTCTTAATATTTTTTGTAATTTTCAAAATGACGAATCCATTTATTTTTTTTAAGCAAGACAACATTGCAGTGACTCTCTCTTCTTTTGTTACATGATGTCCCGCAACGCCAACTGCTTTACAGCCTGCTCTGGACACATAAAATGGGGCTGACAGGGGAAGGCAGTGTGTCTCTGGTTACTCAAAGGGATTTGTAGCCACATTGCTTACCTGTGCTACTTTTTCTAAGCCCAGATTGCAACTGCCTTTGAGTTGATTTTTCTTGTGATTTCTTCATCTCAAACTTGTCTTTATTTGGGATTATATTAACTAGTAGTCAATTGACATGATGCAATTAGAAGTTCTGTTTATAGAATAAGGTATTTTTATTTAAAAAATACTCATTGACAAAAGTAACAATAACAATAAAAAACCACCCTCTGTCTGATTTCTAGCAATGCCAAATCAAAAAATAACACTGCTCCTCTGCAAGTCTTCAGATGCTCTGTGAGTTAGTTTATGAGTTCTGAGCCAGTATCAACTATTAGGAAAGATGTCCTTTTCTTTTCCCTGTTTACAGCCTCACGTGGAGTTCATTGCTGTGCCAAGGACCAGACTACCAGCTCACCAGAAGTGCATAGTTTTTCTTATGTTACAGCTTTATAGTTGTAAAAGTGATTTGATTTGAGAAGGAGATTCAGACCAATTGTTTGTTGATTCCTATTTTGTTGGTTTTCTGTATTTCCTCTTTCAGGCCAGGTTTTCGAAGGGTATCAGTCTAGTTTGCACAGGCAGCCTGACAACACAGAGCTCACCATGGACCAGGATCATGGTTTCAGAGTCATAGATGCAGCACCCTGCACTCTCCCATCACCCCAGCAGAATGTCAGTGTTCATAAATCCACAGCCACACCCTGTCAGGCTGGTAGAGGAAGATACACAGTGTTTGTCACTTTCAGGTTTCTATATTGGCAGTTGATCAGCAAAAGGAGGTCAGATGATTCTTTATAACAGAAAGTCTGCTGGAATAAATCATCCTTTCAAGGAAAAAAGAGTTAAAAAGTGTATTTGAATCATTGGAAAGGCTTAACTTCATTTCAGAAGCTGAGTTGACTAGTCTGGCTTAACACTGCATTTACCATTTTATCTAAACAGTCTTGTTGACCCCTCCTCTTAGGCCGTAGTTTTCAATACCACCAGCTCATCACTTAGATCCAAATTTTGCTTGACAGATAGATGGTCACATTCTTGACAAAGTAACCAAAGTGGGCAACAAGGACGGTATTCAAATTTTAAACTAGCATGAGGGTGAGAGACAGTGCTTGATCTAGCACAAAGACCTGCTGAAACAGAGGGAATGCACCAAAATTCCTTGAACAGTTTAGAGTTTAGTGAATGTGGACCGGGTTATCTTTTCACATCAGTTGCTGCTTGTGTCTCCTGGCTGCAGCATCGCAGTCTGCCTGTTGCCAGACTTACTACCACCCACCCACCAGAGCTATGCCCCAGGTCCCATGGCATTGTACAGATTTGCAGAGGCAGCAGCAACTCTGCAGAGCTGCAGAGCTCCCTGCCTGCGGGGATGCAGGTTTGAGTCTTAAGCCCCTTTCTCTAAGAGAGGTAACTGCTGTTACTCATCTCTACAGGGATGAATAAACAAGTGTTTAGCCAAAGGTCACATACCAAGTTCAAAAAGTGTGGTTTCTGTTCAGGGCCACAAAAAGTTACTTTTATTACTGAACCAATTTTTTTAGAGGGGTCAGCACATTGCAGTTCATATTTTTGAGTGGAAGGGATGATTATGCTGTTTGGCAAAGCATGGTCTAAGAAAGTTTTACGTTACTTTACATTACATTTTCATTACATCATTCATGAAAGGCTTAAGATTAATTTATTTCATACTCATAGATGAAAGCTGTAAAAATTGACAAATTTAAAGCATCAGGAAAAAAAGCCAGTATGTGCTAGAAAATCCACCATTTGTCTCTATTGACAATCCACAGAGGAGCAATTAGGCCATCATCCCTGACCTTTTGTAACTAGTAATTCTTCAGAGTCCATTAGTACTACTTTCATGACAAAAGAATTTAGGATTTACATATGAGTTTCCAAGCATTACCTTAATCACACACACAGGCCACAGAAATCAGTAGGACTTTTTGCACAATAGCGAGAGAATTTTACCCTACATAACTGGAACTGAAAGCCTTCCCATAAGGTCAGTGAGTATTAAAGTTCTTTTGGAAATTGCAACAGGTAACTTAACTGAGTCAGAGTGAGTCAGGTTCAGAGCAGGGTTTGGTTCTATCAGCAAGTAATTAAAAAAATTCACACTAATGTAAAACTTGTTGCACAAGAATCAACACCCTACTTCTCTCCTTGATACTGGTATTGTTAGTGATTGATCTCTTCTGTATGTGACAGTGTGGGAGATCTTGATGTAGCCTGATGAGAGAAATAGGTCTGCCTAGTCCTATTTTGAATACAATGTATTCAAATGGAGTATTTTTCAGTGGATTAGGTAAGGAGAATAGCCTAGGGGGTTCTTCCTGGTTTGAGCACTTACTTTGGAAAAACAGTGTACTGGCCATGACTTCCTACTGGGTGCTAGAGAGAACAGACTGACCAAGGTGTAGTGTCATTTAATGTAATACTCTAATGAATTCAGCATGATTTTCATAAAACAATTAAATTTCCCCTTCAGTAAAACAAAAATAGTAATTTCAGATCAGACTAAGTATATAAAAAGTCTTGCCCAAAATGAAATACTGGTTGTCAAGAAAAGGAAACATGAGAAAGGTATAAATTCAGGCCCCGGTGTTTGTGCTAGCTCCCTTGGTGACCTGGATCAAATATTTTAATCTCTGTATGTTCATCTCTTCAACAGACAAAGGTTAATAAGCTTGCATTGGTGAGACATACCCTATTTTTATTTACCCAATATATTCTTTCCTTTTAAAATAACTGAAATATCTATAGTAATAAAAATAAATTACTAGCTCTAGTTAATGAAAATACTTCTAAGCCCTGGAATATTTCTAGGTAGAAAGGAGTAAGAAAAAATAGATAAAGAGAGAGATGTAAAGAGATAGATGCATGACTTAGCTAATTTCATTTAACTTTATGTGTATCTACACATATGTACAAATATACATATATATATACCCATATATATACATGTATATACACATGTATTACAACACATATATATATATGTTATACATATGTATATATATCGAATAAAGAGGGCTATGGTTATGGCTG